TGTAATGTTCCTGCTGCATACAAGCAGGCAATATTATTCATGTGCCTCTCTGCCTCTCTGAGAAATTTACCTGGTCAAACCATTGGCTCAAGTCCAGAATTTGACTAGGGATTCAGAACTTTGGAAGGTGGAAAGACAAGACACCATTGAAAAAAAGAGAAAAGGTTCCCATTATTCATTTGTTGCTGTTGTTATGTGCCGTTGAGTCAGACCTGACTCAGAGCGACCCCTCATTGGGTTTCCCAGGTGATATAGCTACAGAAGTAGATTGCCCAACCTTCCTTCTGAGGAGTGGCTGGTGTGTTTGAACGGCCAGCCTTCTGGTTAACAGTCAAGTGCCTTAGGCACTATGCTATGAGAGCTCCTATTATTCATTTGGGAATGGACAAGAGAGCAGTTCAAATGTGATGGTAATTACATAATGTATTGCCAAGACTGAAATAAGAATGCATAGGTCTTTGACATTGCCATTAGTCATGAGACTAGGGGACATTCAATGACAGGCACCTACTTCCTTCATTCTATCCTACATGTTGTTGTTGTTAGATGCTGTCGAGTCGTCTCCAACTCATAGCAAGCTTATGTACAGCAGAACAAAATACGGTCCGGTCCTATGCCAGCCCCATGAACCTTGCTATACCTGAGCCCATCGTTGCAGCCATCTGTTCTACATAATTGTGGTAGTTCAGTATGTGTGTCAACTTACCTGGGCCTGGTTGAGTGGCTGGGCAGTTGGATGTAGTATTCCCCATGATGAGACTGGTAGTCAACTCCATGGTGGAATCTACTGTAAGCAGCTGAGTATCTGGTCTGCTTCCTGCATGTAAGTAGCAGGTTTGGGAATGGTCTCTAGCTTGTGGCACGCTTGGACCCTGCATGTAGCATGTCGTTTTTTAGCAGTCTGCCATGCTCTGCTGACCTTGGGACTTACAATGGATTTGACTTAATGGCCTGCTGTGTGGTTTGGTAACATCGGGACTGTGCTATTTTATTTGTCAACCTTGGGCTTGTGAGTCTCAGCAGCCAGTAGCTCCTGAGTGAAGATGCCTCTAGCTTCAGTGGGCCGGGAGCAAGAGGCAGAGCTGAAGCCCAAGGTCGAGGGTCTTTCAACCAGCCCATAGAACCTGGCACTTTGAACTTGGACTTAAAGGCTCTAAACTGTAAGAGAATAAACTCCTGTTTGTTAAGGCCATCCCATTTGTGGTATATTTCTGTCAGAGTGGTACCAGGTAACCAGAACAATGTTACTAGAATGTCTGCATCTTTCCATTTTCTACCCTTCAACATTGAGTAAATTCAATAAAATGTCTCAAATAGCCTCAATTGGGCAATGTATTCATGGTTTTAAAAAAATCTTATCTCAAATTCTTGCACCAAAAGGGGAGACCTACTTGAGTCACTCAAGCTGAGGTGTATGGATATTTCTCCTTGGAAAGTACTAATAAAAATATGGTCAAAACTGAATACGACTGAGAAGTCTGCTTAATGTTAAGTACAACTGAAATGTTCTGGTCTATCTTGACTGGATGACTACTGATTACATAAACAGTGATTGGTTGCTAGGAGGCAATTGCCCAATTGCTTAGGCTTTATGCAACCCTTCCTCCCAGGGCTCTTGAGTACCGTCCACATAGTTGTTCCAGAGCATTTTGGCAGCATCCTTCTGCACCTTCTCCTGAAAGCCAGTTAATTATGAGTCTTATAAACTTGGATCTTTCAACCTCTTGATTTTATGATAAATATAACCCGCATGCTCAGACTTGAATAACATTGTTAGGAATAGCTGCTGCTTTCTGTTTCTTTAATTTACCTCAAAGTTCCCAAGTCTTCATTTTAGGCAACTAGAACGGACCAATATGGTTGTTGTTGTTGTTATGTGCCGTCGAGTCAGCCCTGACTCATAGCGACCCCTCCTTGGGTTTCCAAGGCAGTATCACTATGGAAGTAGGATTGCCCAACCTTCCTTCCGAGGAGTGGCTGGTGGGTTTGAACTGCCAGCCTTCTGGTGAGCAGTCGGACCAATATTAGCAATTGAAATTGAAATGGGAATCATTAGGATATATATATATATATACTCATTTCAGAACATTCTTTTATCTACCACAAAATTTGTTAGTTTCATAAGTCTTCATGTCCAGGTTCAGGGGACACCTTTCTGGGACAGTATGGAGAAGAGTCCTGTTGCGGCCATTCAGGAACGGGTCTGGTCCCGAGCACCTGCTGTGTGAAGTCTCTAAGTACATCCTCTGGTTCTTGCTTCCCACTAGAAAGCATCTTTTCTTCTTTTCCTTTACTTGGGGTGTGCAACACTGCACAAGTTTGCCTTCATCCTTACAGGGATCCCAGCTGAGAGTTCCTGTTTTAGTGTCCATGCCACCATGGCAGACATCCACCTGTATTTCTGTGTTTTGTATTTATTAAAGTAGCACTAAAGTCTATTCCTCTCTTAGATGAAAATATTCTGGCTAAAGAACATCATAATTTTTTTTTCCCATTTCAGATAAATAAAGACCATCAAAATCAAAACGACACAACACTCAGCTCTTGTTTCTCCCCAGTCTTGGGCTTAGCATTTCTCATCTGAGATACTCTTATTGGGAAGACAGCCAGGCCTAAACAGAACAGGAAGTCTGTTACTTTTCTGAGGATGCTCCACCCTGGATGTGATTCATGCCGGAGTTGAGACGAAGGAAAGCCCCTGTACATATGTCCAAGATCCATGACTTCATGTTTAAGACACTCTGCTCTCTTCCTCATTCCTCTCCCCAGTCATCCTCAGAAGGAGCTCTGGTGACATAATGGTTAAAGCATTTGGCTGCTACCCAAAAGGTTGGTGGTTCAACACTGTGGGAGAAGGATGTGGTAGTCTGCTTTGGTAAAGATTTACAGACTTGAAAAAACCTTTGGGGCAGTTCTAATCTGTCCTATAGAATCACTATGAGTTGGAATCGACTTGGTGGCAGTTGGTTAGTCATCCTCAAGAATCTTCTCACACTCCTAGACTCAACTTTCCTTCTCCAGCTCTATGATTTACCAGTGCCAGTTATGAAATGCATTCCACCTTTCTTTGTTCTTCTGAAACTCTTTTTACCTAGCCACCTTGTAGTGACCTCTTCTGGCCCACATTAAAAGAGTACCTACCAACGTGCCTTTTTGAAGAGTGGAAAGCACTACACAGATCAGCTCTGAGCTCAGGCAGTGATGCTTCTACTGAACCACATCAATGTGGATAGCCAGCAAGCACTGAATTACATGTTCTTGCTCCTACTATGAAATCTGCACTCATTTTTCAATAACTTCATTCATTCTCTCCTCTTCTGTGTCACTGCCATCTTCACACTTTTGCAGCCTTTGCAACCCAACTTCTGAATCTATATCATTCGTGTTCATGACACAGAGTAAAAACTTCTCTGTAGGTTCTTTCTAGCTGCCAAATTATATTCATTTATTAATCCTCATACTTCTAAAGGTTCCACTTATTTCTAAAAGCATTTCACTTCAGATACAAACCATCTGATATCATAATAATGGTAGCATCTGACATATTCTAACTTCATGAGAAGGAGTGAGAATCATCATCAGCATCAGCCCAAGGCTGATTCCTATGAAGTGGAGGTCAGACATACCTCCACCCTTTTTTTTTTTTTTTTAAGCCAATTCTAACATTAGCTGTCCCTCCATGGCATTCTCTACGTCTCTGTTGGTTCAAAAATTCATTGCAATGGTCACACAGAACTCACGGACTATACCCACAGTTATGGGTTTACTAGGGAAGTAACAAGATACAGTCCAAGATCAGGAACAGTTCTTCAATCAAGACAGCCTCTTCTCAGTTGTGCTCGCAGGCAGGCCTCTTTCTGGCCCTTGGTCCCTCAGCCCAGCCTCTACCCTGCTTGGACAAGTGTTACAAAGCTCCATAGCTCTGCCATTAAGTGCCTTGGGGCAACCCACTCTGCCAGAAAGCTTTGGCCTGCAGTTGCTCAGTTTTCTCACTCTGTGGGTCAGCAAAACCTAATCTGCCAACAAGTGGCCAGAGGCACACCACTCCAACAGCAAGCCTCACATCTGAAGGCACTCAGCTTTCTCACTCTGTAGGCCAGTAAGCCCACTGTGCCATCTCCTGCCAGTCTCCGGGTTCTGCTGCCTCTGCAGCTGACATCTCTTGCCATTACAGCTCTCTTTCTCGCTTGCTGTCTCTCTCTGTCCCCTGGGTCTAAGAGCTTCTCAGCACAGGGATCCCAGGTCCAAAGGATGCATTCCACTCCTAGCTCTTCTTTCTTGGTGGTAGTAAGGTCCCCCTCAACACACCTCATTCTGGGATTGGTGCTCTTTTTAAGCCTAGTGGATGGCAAAATAAAGCAATCCACTTGTTATGGTTCTATATACTTTATTTGCATGGTTGCACCTCACATGGGTGACATGTACCTTATTTGCATTAGTAGTAAACTGTCCAATCCCCTTGGTGGGCCACAAGCACCTCATCGCATAGTCCTACTCAGTCATTTGGTGAGAGTTGCATGACCATGTGAGAAAGGCCATATAAAAGCAGTCCTTCACACCACAGATTTTATTTTTTTGTCAGATAAATGAAAATGACTTTAGAACCAAGCACTATGAGAGGTGGCAATGTAAGTTGGAGATTAAGAGAATGATTGAAGCATGGTATTTTTAGGGTTACATTACTCTCCCACTATTGCTTTCTCCTGGTGACCCATTTTGACAAGTGATTATGACATGTAGAATTCCATAAACTGACAAAGTGTTGTATACACACTAGGCTTTGAAGCTTCCTAACAAGGAACTTACATGCTTTCAACTTGTATATACACTTATGGATACATAGACATACACATCATCTTGCTTTTCAGGAACATACCAAGGTAGACAAACAACCTAGAAGTAAGATGCTTATTGTATCATGGCTATGACAGATGGTCCAAAGATCATGCATAATGACATGATTTTTACTTTTTAAGAGTCTGGAGGGAATACACTGTTACCTGCTGTCTTTGGTAGGCAGAGAAAGTTCTTTCCAGGTCTTCCAGATCTAGAACTTTAAAGACTTTTGTATCATCAATTTCGGTCCATACTGTTCCTTCCAGTTTGTTCTGCAAACATCAAGTTATACCAAAAAAGAAAGATACAGTTATGGGGGGAAAAAAAAGCCACTGTCCCAAATTAACCATTCTACTAGATGATCAACATGAGCTACTTTGTGTAAACCACAAGTCATTTATCTCAGAAGCTGTGTTACTTAAGCATCTGAGTTAGTGAGATCCTTGACTCCATATGAGAAAATGAGATCTCTGACAGCCAGGACTGTTCTCCCTTGTAGTGAGAGAACACAGTGAGCTGCTGCTGCTGTCCATTAGAGGGACTGTTGGAACAAATGGCTTACCTCAGGTAGCTTAGACCAGTTGAAGGATTTCAGGGCATTTGTGGGCTGAGGAATGTTTTTCTTCTTAAGTGCCAGACCCAGTGGAGCCCCAGGAGGTGGCATGATGCCCCCTAGGGGAGGGGGCCCTGGAGGAGGTGGAGGGCCACCTGGAGGGAGGGGAGGTGGTGGAGGAAGAGGCATTCCACCTGGTAGAGGTGGGGGAGGTGGGGGAGGAAGGATAGCCCCTGGCACTGTTGAAGGAAAGGGGCCCCCTGGGGCTCCAGGTGAGGTTCCACCTGGGACTGAAGCACACACGGCCCTCTGCAAAAGCAAAAAACAGGAAAGGAGAAGATCAACGGGAGCAGTAATTCATTTTATGACTTTGAGAGTTTGTAATTTTGCCTAAAATGTGTATAATAGAGTAATTCATACTTTAAAGGACCAGTAAGTCAAGTGGACTCTTAGGGTCTTCATGGACTCCATTACATCACCCCCTAGAATTTGGAAGTCTAGTGGTTATTTTCAAAGCATCACATATCTAGATGGGTGGACAGGCTGAAAGATTAGGTATGTCTATGCAGGGGGAAGTGTGCCCATGACCACATACGGGGTTGGCAGACAATGTTTTTACTAGTGTATTTGTATGTTCTGTAAGAATTTCCAAGTATATAGTAGGAGCTCTGGTAGCATCGTGCCTAAGGCACTTGACTGCTAACTAAAAGGCTGGAAGTTCAAACCCACCAGCCACTCCTCAGAAGGAAGGTTGGACAATCTACTTCCGTAGTGATACCAACTCAGAAACCCAAGGAGGGGTCGCTACGAGTCGAGTCCGACTCAACGACACATAACAACAACAACTGTAGAGCTGACAAAGGGATGAGGTTGTAGTCACTTCTTGGACATAGCCAGCTACCAGGAGGAAACGAGTAGTTGGACCTGTGGGCTCGGGACCATGGTTTCAGGGGACATCAAGCTTAATTGACATAACATACCACACAAAAACATTGTTCCACAACCTATTTTGGTCAGTAGTGACTGTGATCTTAAAAGCTTGCAAGTAGCCATCTAGATGCAACAATGGGTCTCTCCTCATGCAGAGCAAAAATGAAGAAAACCAAAGATGTATGGAAACGATTAGTCCAAGTGATTGGTACACCATCGGATCCTCAGCCTATATGAGTATGAGACCAGAAGAAGCAGATGTTGTCCAGCTACTACTGTCAACCACTTGGAAGGGGATCTATGTAGGAGATCCTGGATAGAGTGGGAGAACAATGTGGAATAAAACTCAAAATCATAAAAAAAAAAAAAAAAAAAAGGACCAGGTTTGCTGTCTAATAGAGACTGGTGAAACTCCTGAGACTATGGCCCTAGCTGCCCTTCAGGTCCGGAATTGAACCTGTTGTGGCTTCCAGCCAAACAAAAGACAGGCATATGAGCTGAACATTTCCATTCGGTAGATACACTCCTTGGAGAGATCAATCATGGGAGAATAGAAGGGCTGTGTGTGCACAGGGAGACAGCTCAGGGGGCAGGAGTGCATGGGAGGGAAGGACACAGGGAAGAGGTGGGAAGAGAGCTGTTGCATTGTGGGGAATTGCAGTCAATGTCATGAGACAAAGAGTGTGTAAATTGCTGTATGGAAGGTGAATTTGCTCTGTAAACTCTCACCCAAATCACAATAAAAATTTAAAAAAAAAAAAAAGCATCACTCACTTCCTTCTCCATCATACAATTTGGTTTTCATAAAATCAGATATCATTTTAAGAACTGTTGCTCTCATTAGAGGATTTCTGTTTAAAATGCACACTCCAAACCCTGTCTGCTGCCTAACCTACACAAACACAGAGCAACCCAGTCTTGTAAGCATTGTGATCAATCACACGAGACATTTCGGATCCCGTTTCCTGCCATGAGAGGTTGTCTACATGAGGATATGGGCACCTGAGTAGTAAGGCCTCAGCAACTGCTGTGACCGGAAGGCCCGCCTGGGCCTGAGACACTCACCCTGCTGAGCTCGTGGAGCTGTGCCGTGAGGTCCACCACCTGCTGCTTGACTTGCTTGTGCTCAGTCGTCTCCTTTTCAAGTTTCTCTTTCATTTTGTTCAAGGTCTGCATCATCTCCTCCTTCTCTTGGGCTTTGGCATCACATTCCCGCTCTTTCTTTTCCAATTTCTGTTGTAATTCATTGTGTTCTATGTGTGAAAAAAATGGACATGAAAACAGGAGAGCCTTCAAAGGTGAAGCATTTTCTCTGAAAAGAAAACGGACTGGGATTGATGAGACAGATTGTATGGCTCTTTATTAGGTAAATCCTGTCCTCTTCTCCAGCAAGGGGGGCGACTCACAGTCTAAATGGGGCTCACGCTTGGAGGGGGGCTTCAGAGGAACAATTTTATTAACTACATTTTGCAAAAGGCTGAAGAAAAAAAGTCGTTTTAAAAATGAAGCAAAGGTTTGTTTGAGCAACCACATGTTGAGGAGAATGGTGTCTATTTATTTAATTCTGAATCCTGTCACAGAAATGGCCCCTTTAGCAACACTAGGGAAAATGAATATTAAAAGTGTCTCATTTCACAAATTAAAAAGAGGGGTAAGAAAGGTCCAGCTTTTACTAACTAAGTTGGCTGGCTTGCATTTGATGAGCAGAAGGGCTAAAAAGGAGAGCTGCTGCCAGACCCAGTGTTTGTCCCAACATGGAGTCATTTCTCCTATCCCCCTTCAGAAAGCCACTTGGACTTAAAGCATTTTATGCTTCAGGCAAACAACTATTAAAATCTGTGAAGGCAAATGTTATCATCTTAATATTAAGTATTTTAAAGGCAGTAGTGTTGGTTGAACACAAGAATCACGGTAGTTTGGGGAGAAGATTAACTCTCAGCTGTAGTTTTACTGACTTCCTTGGTTTTGCTATATTGGAAGAGGTTTCCCAATGTAACATAATGCTTATTCACACTGCCAATGAATATATGCTTGCTGAGTCTAACAGTGACAGGAAATGATGAGCTTTGGAAAACAGAATGAATGACATTTAAGCTGTAGATTTTTACTTCAAATACTTGGCCCTAATTTCTATTCTTTTTATATCAACAAATCCACTAGAGCATATTCCACTGGGGCAGAGCTATACAAGTTAGTCTCTATTAGTGAATTTGACACCACACCTAAATTTTTTCCTTTTCTTTCCCTTTCTCTTCTCCCCAAATTCAGAGTTTGTAAAGAGGGTTCCAAATGACTAAAACCTGTAGATCTTACTAAAGCCTGACATTGACTGAGATAACAACCAACACACTTCTACTACTCTTCTTCCTCTCTGACTTCAGAGAGCCATCTAAAACCTACCTCATTATATCTCATTTTCCTTCTTCTATCCCATTTCATTCCTCTTTGACAATTATGTGACTTAGAACTTGCCACCCATCACTAGTCATCAACTTTTGCCAAATCTGGGTGTGCCTCAGAATAATCTGATGTGTTTTAACATTTCAGGATTCCCAGGTCCTGATTCAGGTAAGGGGAGGGAGGGAGAGAACCCACCAAGGCAGGAAGCCACTGGAAGATGCCAGGGCCAAGGGCTAGAACAAGTAGGGGGAGGCCAGGAAGTGGGCAGAGATGAACTTGTCTGTCAGTTTGTCCTACTGTGGTGGCTTGCATGTTGCTGTGAGGCTGGAGGCTGTACCACCAGTGTTTCAAACACCAGCAGGGTTGCCCATGGTGGACAGGTTTCAGCAGAGCTTCCAGACTGAGACAGACTCAGAAGAAGGAAGAGGCCATCTACTTCTCAAAGAATTGGTCAGGGAAAACCTTATGAAGAGCAGAGAAACACTGTCTGAGACATTACTAGACAACTTTATGAATAGCTCTGAAACATTGTCTGATACAGTGTGGAAAGATGAGTCTGTCAGGTTGGAAGGCACTCAAAATATGACCAGGAAAGAATTGCCTCATCAGAGTAGAACCAACCTTAACCACATGGATGAAGTAAAGCTTTCAGGACCTCCATTTGCTGACGTGGCACAACTCAAACTGAGGAGAAACAGATGCAAATACCCATTAATATTCGGAACATGGAATGTACAAAGTGTGAATCTAGGAAAACTGTAAGTTGTCAAAAATGAAATGGAACACATAAAGATTGATATCCTAGGCATTAGTGAGCTGAAATGAACCAGTTTTGGCCATTTTGAATCAGACAATCATATGATCTACTATGCTTGGAATGACAAATTGAAGAGGAATGGAGTGGCATGCATCACCACAAAGAATGTTTCAAGATCTATCCTGAAGTACAATGCTGTCAGTGATAGATAATAGCCATATGCCTACAAGGAAAGCCAGTTAATACTGGAGCTCTGGTGGTGTAGTGCCTAAGGCATTTGACTGCTAACCAGAAGGCTGGTGGTTCAAACCCACCAGCCACTCCTTGGAAGGAAGATTGGGCAATCTACCTCTGTAGAGATACTGTCTTGGGAACTATTATTCAAATTTATGCACCAGCCACCAAAGCCAAAGATGAGGAAATTGAAGATTTTTTACCAACTTCTCCAGTCTGAAATCGACCAAACATGCAATCAAGATGTGCTGATTATCACCGGTGATTGGAATGCAAAAGTTGGAAACAAAGAACAATCACTGGTAGTTGGAAAATTTGGCCTTGGTGATAGAAATAATGCTGGAGTTCACATGACAGAATTTTTCAAGACCAACAACTTAATCATTGCAAATATCTTTTTTTCAACAACACAAATGGCGGCTATACACATGGACTTCACCAGATGGAGTACACAGGAATCAGACTGACTACATCTGTGGCAAGAGGCGATGAAGAAGCTCAGTATCTTCAGCCAAAATAAGGCCAGGAGCTGACTGTGGAACAGACCGTCAATTACTCATATGCAAGTTCAAGCTGAAGTTGAAGACAATTAAAACAAGTCCAAGAGAGCCCAAATAGGACCTTGATTATATCCCTCCTGAATTTAGAGACCATCTAAAGGACAGATTTGATGCATTGAACACTAGTGACTGAAAACCAGAGGAACTGTGGGATGCCATCAAGAACATCATCCATGAAGAAAGCAAAAGGTCATTAAAAAGACAGGAAAGGAAGAAAAGACCAATATGGATGTCAGAAGAGACTCTGAAAATTGCCCTTGAATGGAGAGTCACTAAAGCAAATGGAAGAAATGATGAGATAAAAGAGCTGAACAGAAGATTTCAAAGAGCAGCTTGAGAAGACAAAGTCAATTATTATAATGAAATGTGCATAGAGCTGTAGTTAGAAAACCAAAAGGGAAGAACATGCTTGGCATTTCTCAAGCTGAAAGAACTGAAGAAAAAATTTAAGCCTCGAGCTGCAGTACTAAAAGATTCTATGGGAAAAATATTGAATGATGCAAGAAACATCAAAAGAAGATGGAAGGAATACAGAGAGTCACTGTACCAAAAAGAACTGGTTGATCTTCATCCATTTCAGGAGGTGGCATATGATCCAGAACCAATGGTATTGAAGGAAGAAGTTGAAGCTGCACTGAAGGAAGTGGTGAAAAACAAGGCTCCAGGAATTGACGGGATACCCAATTCCCAAGACGTTTCAACAAATGGATGTTGTGCTGGAGGCACTCACTAGACTATGCCAGGAGATTTGGAAGACAGCTGGAAGAGATCCATATTTGTGCCCATTCCAAGAAAGATGATCCCACAGAATGTGGAAATTATAGAATAATATCATTAACATCCCACACAAGTAAAATCTTACTAAAGAAAATTAAAAAATGGTTACAGGAGTATATTGACAGAGAACTTTCAGAAATGCAAGCTGGATTCAGAAGAGGATATGGAACAATGGATATCGCTGCTGACGTCAGATGGATCTTCGGTAAAAGTGAAGAATATCAGAAATATGTTTGTGTTTTACTGACTATGCAAAAGCATTCAATTGTGTGGATCATAACAAATTGTGGATGACATTGAGAAGACTGAGAATTCCAGAACACTTAATTGTACTCATGAGGAAATGGTACATAGACCAGGAGGTTGTCATTCAAACAGAACAAGGGGACACTGCATGGTTTAAAATCAAGAAGAGAGTATGTCAGGGTTGTATCCTTTCCCCATACTTATTCAATCTATATGCTGAGCAAATAATCTGAGAAGCTGGACTATATGAAGAAGAACGTGGCATCAGGATTGGAGGAAGAATCATTAACAACCTATGATACACAGATGACACAACTTTGCTTGCTGAATTGCTTGCTGAGAGTGAGGATGACTTGAAACACTTACTAATGAAGATTGAGAATACAGTCTGCAGTATGGATTATACCTCAATGTAAAGAAAACAAAAATCCTCACAACTGGACCAATAAGCAGCATCACAATAAATGGAGAAAAGACTGAAATTGTCAAAGACTTCGTATTACTTGGTTCTACAATCAATGCCAATGGAAGCAGCTGTCAAGATATCAGACGGCATATAGCACTGGGCAAATCGGCTACAAAAGACCTCTTTCAAGTGCTGAAGAGCAAAGATGTCTCCTTGAGGACTAAGGTGCACCTGACACAAGCCATGGTATTTTCAATCACCTCATATGCATGTGAGAGCTGGAAAATGAATAAGGAAGACTGAAGAAGAGTCAATGCTTTTGAGTTGTGGTGCTGGTGAAGAATGGTGAAAGTACTACGGACTGCTAAAAGAACTAAGAAATCTGTCCTGGAAGAAGTGCAGCCAGAATGCTCCTTGGAAGTGAGAATGCCCAGACTTCATCTCACCTACTTTGGTCATGTTGTAAGAAGAGACCATTCCCTGGAGAAGGATATCACTGTTGGTAAAGTGGAAGGTCAACGAAAGAGGGGAAGGCACTCAATGAGATGGATTGACATGGTGGCTACAACGATTGGCTCAGGTATGGCCAGGATCATGGAGTTGGCACAGGACCAGGCAGTGTTTTGTTCTGCTGTCCATAGGGTAGCTATGAGTCGGAGATGACTCGATGGCACTTAACAACAATGACAGGTTCCACTCCCTGATCTATTCTGTAGGTCAGGACAGAGCTTGTACTCTGTGGTTTTCAACTGCTTCTCAGGTAAACCTTCTGCACTGGCAGGTTTGGCAACCTCTAGCCAAAAGGACTCTCTCCACAAATGACATCCATGTACCATCTATTCACTGTTTGGTTGTACTACATTAAGAGAATTCTCCCAAATATTCTCCATCTTTCAGGTCCATAGAACTTTCTTTCTCCTCACAGTCTCCACCCTTTGACTAATTTGATAGTATATGTCTTCTTTAATACAACTTTGCTACCTACAGATCCCAGACAAGGATTAATTTGATCTACAATCTCTCTTTTTCTACATTCTACCCATGACCTCACCTTAAACCATCCTGACCCTTTCACTGGCCTCAGCCATTTTCTCTTGTGTCATCTCAGCCTCCTACATCCTGCAAAAGTCACTATCATTTATTGAGAAGCCAGTATGTGCCAGGCACTATGCTAAAGTCCTTATTTTACTTCTCTCTTATTTTGCATATATCCTTACAGTTACTTTTATCACTTTTTTATTCACTGAATCTTCACAGTGCCCCTGTGAGTTAGTTGTAATCCTCATTTTGCAGAGGAGGTTACTGGAGGAAAAGAGGACATTACTTAGCCTACCCACACAGTAAGTAGGGCACAGAGTGAAGACCCAGGCCCAGAGCCCAGTAGAGTGCCTGACAAACACAGGCATTCAATAACTACTGCCTGCATCAATGAATGACCCTAGTGCTTATGTCCTGAGAATTCTACTCAACTTGCATACTTGGGTTTGTATGCTCTGGACTGTATTGCTAAACTATTCGCTCATCGACAATTTGCTCTTTGGTATAACCTCTCCTTACCCTAAATTTTAGTCAGTGTTTCTATTCTTTCTATAGCAGTTTTTGAAATTTATTTATAAAAGTGCATGTGCTGACCTCACTTATGTACAGCAATCTGAACTCTTATGAGGAACTCATAACATAACAGGACTTCACAGTTATCCTTTTCTGATGTCAGTGGTGGCCTTGGTCTTCAGCCCAGTGTTAAAGGACGAATGTGATGAGAAGAAAGGAAATGCTTAGGCATCTCTTGGAACCTCTTTTCAGCACATTAATATGAGGGTGAGTGCTGTTGTATTTCATGGGCTGTGGCTGAATGATTTGGACAAGGAAAAGGAAATCAGAGTAGTGGCTGGGATAGGGAATAATTGTTTTCATAAAGGGGCCAAGTTAATTTGCCAGTATTTTGAAGGAAGAGGGAATGTTGTATCCATTGCTTAGTGGCTGGCACAGCAAAGTGTACAAATGTCCCTCCTGTCGCTTGTTGCTGAGCAATAATATCAAGATATATGCAAACACTCACCAATAGCTTTCCCGTTAATGTTTCCTAAAACAACTATCAGCCAAGGCCAGTGATTTTCTGCATGATTTCTCTATTTACAACTGGTCCCAAATTATAGGCATGTGGAGAATCAGGCAGCTAAAACCAAGCTTCCTGAGCTCTCTTTTAAAATCACAGACGATGCTGGGTAGTGTTAGTGTCTTTTACCATGTTTATTAAAACCCAGTGTGTTTTCAATATGGGTCAGGGAGATGATTGGGATGATTGGTAGTTAAGAAAGTTTGACTTAATGAATACTGAATAACACTTTACAAACTTTTCAAAAGATTTTACATGATCATGATAAAAGGATAAAGTATCTGGCAATCAGCATGACAACCAAAATGGCTTGATTCAAGAGAAGCCAGTACAAAATGCCCTTAAGACACACACAAAAGAAAGGCTGTTTGATCAGTAAAGTCATTAAGAAACATGTATGTTAATTTCCAAAAATATATAGCAAGCAGGAAACTCAGTGTCACCCAGTATCAGGTCTTCTTGTCAGGGCCTCATTGTTTACCTTTTCTCATTTTTTCTGCTTGCTCTTTCCACTGCTTAACTTCATTTTCATTAACCAACCTGTATAATAGTTAAAAGAATGGTTATTGCAAAAGATCAAAAAAGATTCAACTGCTAAATATAGGCTCCCTAGGTACCAAAACAAAACAAAAACTCAATTGCAAAGAAAATCCTCTGCATAGTGGAAAACAATTTAAACCCAGATGCTACTTAGATATATTACATGTGTGTGCATATAGTAACTCATGTGTGACCTCTAGAACATGTCAGTTTTCCCAACTGCTATTCTGAAGTAAGGTAAAATACGTATCTCATATCTCACTGGCAGCAAAATAAGAAGAAACTTACATTCGTACAACATTCTTAATGTTAAAGTTTTCCAAAGGTGTAGAGTCAGGGTCTTGTCCTTTGTCATTCTGGATAACTATTTGCTGTATAATTCTATCTAGTAGTAGCCAGTACTGAACAGTGTTGCCACTTCTTTTATCTACAAAAGAAAAGCATGATGGAAAAAATATCAAGATGTTTCTAAACTATGGTTAATATTTTGCAACATGCTTCAGAGAACTAGAGAGAGATTTACAATGCCTGTACCCAGGATTTCCAAAGTTTCTGGAATTTTGACATGTGACGATCATTCATTTGATTGAGAAGCACTCTCTACTCCTATTTAAATGTGTTGTATGACATACATTTACTTTGGAAACAGAAGTAAATTATGAATCGTTTTGAGAATTTCACAATATCCCTTAAACTATGTGGAGATGCATTGAGCTGTCAAAAAACCAAGGCTTGGAATCCTTGGTCTACACCCAATCAAATCAGCACTGTTCACCAAACAGAGCTCTTTGGACGATGTCCAAACTTTCAATAACACATGTATAAATCACAAACACTCACAAGGCATTTGCAGGCAGTGGTGCAGTATGGACATGAAGTGAGGGTAGGCTTCACTGTGAGTCAGCCTCTTCCTGGTCAGCTCAAACATCTGAGTTGCACTTTTTGTGTCTATGTGAACCTATTTCATATGAAAACGAAATCTAAGTCAAACGTACAAGTTCCTTGATTTTCCCAAGGTAAGCAAATCCAATGTAAACAGAAACTAAGGTAGCAGAACAAAACCTAAATCGTACTTTTTTGTTACACTGATCCATGACAACTCTAGAACACATATTACAAGGGGATAATTCTGTGAGCCTGAGTCAAATTATTGTAAGCATACACACCAGTTCAAATCTTTTGGCAAATTCTAGTTCATCTTCATTCCGGAGCATTTCAAAAAAGTCTAAATGCCTGAAAGATAATTAAAGAAAGTTTATTAAAAGTAGAACATCCTACAAACACAGCATCGGAATCTACACAATCATATTAAGGTCTCTCCTTGTTCTCAGAGATACGTCTAAATCTAAAAGAAAGAAGACAATAAAGTTTTAATGCCTCCATTTAACCATACTCTTAAAAAAAAAAAAAAAAAGACATCATCTGAGAGAAATGCAATCACAAAAAAAAAAAAAATTTTAAAGCCTGGGATGTCTAGCACATATGAGACAATTAATAAATGCCTATCAAATGTAAAAACAATGAAGTCCAGATTCTACTCACAGACTCCCTTTATGGAAAAACAAGCCCATATGCCATGTGAGTAGCTGCTGAATTGAAGATCATAAAAGAAATGTTTACACCATTCATTTATCCATCCAAATATTTATTAAGCCCCTCCATATGTATTTTACACACAAGGGATGATAAGTTCTGTGAAGACAGATACATCCGAGTAAATGAAATAGAGAATGATGGGAGGTAAGATAAGCGACGTGCACACAATGATCGGAAAAGGTCTCTCTACAAGGCATAAGGGAAAGAGCAATTTGGACATCTGTAGGAAGATCTTTTGATACTAAGGAAATAATACATGCAAAAGCAAGAATATGTTTGGCATGTTCATAGAAATATCAAGGACAAGAGTATGCCTGAGTGTGTGAATAAGGGAGAAGAGTAGTGAAAGGAAAGGTCTGAGAGCTAGTAGGACATCTTGCTGTTGTTGTTGTTATGTGCCGTGGAGTCAGACCTGACTCATAGCGACCCCTCCTTGTTTTTCCAAGGCGGTATCACTAAAGAAGTCGATTGCCCAACCTTCCTTCTGAAGAGTGGTTGGTGGGTTTGAACTGCCAGCCTTCTGGTTACCAGTCAAGTACCTTAGGCACTACGCTACCAGAGCTCTTAGAAATAGTAAAATGATTGCAACAAGAGCAAATTAAAAGGAATATAAAAATTTACATTCAAAGAATGCCTGTCAAAGTATTAAGTGATTCTACATGTTTTGCAGTCAATGTCACAACAGAAGGAGGTCCGGAGGCATAGTGGATAAGGCATTTGGCTGCCAACCAGAATGTCACTGGTTCAAACCCACCAGCTGCTTTGTGGAAGGAATATGGGGTGAACTACTTCCGTAAAGATTCACAGCCTCAGAAACCCAATGGGGGTTGCTATGAGTCGGAATTGACTTGATGGCAGTGAGTTTTTTTTTTTTTTTTAAATCACAACAGTCCTGAGAGGCAGTCATCATCTTAATCATCATTATTATTTTTCACAGGTATAAAAATAGTAAGGTTCAGAAAAATTGAGTAACTTGGCCATGATATGTAGCAAGTAAGAGGCAGGTCTAGGATATGGATTACGTTAAATGCTAAACTCATGGTAAGTTCTCTACCCAATGTGCTACTTCCTTTATTGAGAAAGCCTACCGTGAAAACATTGTTAGCTGAACCAACATTCTGGTGTCAGCTCCTGATCATGTTACAGACAGGTTACAAGAAGTTCATGGGCTAGCATCTGGTGAGGCATTGCACTACATCACACAAAAAAGCATTCATTATCTCAGATCTTGACAGTCTAACTTACCTATCTAACGTAGAATTTTCATGTTCTCTTAATTTATCTATTATAGGTTGAATTCCTAACATCAGAAATTCATAACGAAGATGAAGTCTAAAGTCCAGACTTTCCTGAAAGTAAAAGGGTGATAAAATAGATGTTTATGGTTTTTAGATTTCTTAGTGTCATTTTTTTAAATTATTCTTTGATAATATATTTAAAAATTGTACTACAGAGGCTCTTACCACTCCTGCGCCTTGACTTAGCACTGCATTAATGAAAGACATGATGGCAGTCTTGAGACTCACTTCATCTCGATACCGCCCAGTGCTTTTATCCAAGTCATTCATTAACGTCTACCAGGATAGAGATACAAAGAATCAAAGGGCAGAATCATTACTAACTTTACAGTAAGTTTATTAATTTTTTCTATGTTCAAAAATTCCTTTTTAAACCTGTGTTTAGAATTATATTGATCCACAGAAAGCCTTCAATTTTTTCCCTAAAGATGAGTCCAAAAAACTCCACTTTCAAACCCGTCCATCATTCATGTTCATATACATATGTAACAAAGAACAAGAGACTAAGCTTCATTAACTTTGCTTTTGTTATATTTAAGAAAAAACACAGAGACAGCTGTTCAACTTGATCCTGAATGAGGAAAAGCAACCTGGAAATTACTCAGGGCAAATCCCATTTAGTAGATTCCAAAGATGTGTGCTATAAAATAAGAAGTAAGAAAGGCCACATTTTAAGTCCAGTAAATCCAAAAGCCCAGCTTGATCAACCATAGAAAGTATATTCTAAAATGTGGAATAAAACTCAAAGAAAGAAGAAAGACTATGGCCCCATTCCCACTTTGGGCCTGGAATTGAACTCACTTCTGTGGCTTAACTTTCAGTCAAGCAATAGATAGGTCTACACCAGGAAGATGCCCTCCTTAGAAGAGTCAAACATGAGATATCAGAAGGGCATCATTTGCATAAGAAGAAAGCGCAAAGGGAGGGAATGCAAAGGAAAAGAGGACAAAGGGAAAAGGCAACCACAGGGAGGGAGTGGGAAGAGTGCTGTCACATTGTGGGACTTCTAATCAATGTCACAAAACCAAACGTGCATGAACTGTTGAATGGAAAATGAATTTGCTCTGTAACTGTTCACTCAAATCAGAATAGAAAGGTAGGAATAAAGAAATATAGTCTACTCCGGTATTGAACTAAAGAGGAAGGAAATGTTTGAAGTCACAGTGTGAATAATCACAACAGAGGGAATCTCAAGTTAAGGTTGCATTCAGGGCCAGAAAAGGCACCAGTTAGGAGGTGTGAATGAAGAGGTGCAAGGGCCCACGCACCTGAAAGCGGGTCCTTTCACTGGCGTATTTCTGGTAGTGCAGCATGGCCTGCAGAACCTTCTTGTGGCCCCCGGGAACCAGGCACACGGCGCCCAAGATTTCCAGCACAGCCACCTTTGTTTTAATGTTCTCTGTGCTCAGACTCTGAGCAATTACATTAATACTCTCAGAATGAGCCAGGACATGGGCCCGACCTTGAGAGTTGTTCATTAGCGCCTTTATGCATCCAATGAGAGAGGTATGTATTCGAGACTCTGAGGTCTCGTAGTCCATCGTCTTTAGAAAGTTGAGAATACATGACAGGCCATCCAAGTCAATGAATCTGGTTACAAACCTGCCAGGAGGAAAAGATGGTTAAATAAAATGTATCAAATTGAAGTCCCTTTGGAATTTTGTAATATTCCTTAATGAAAAGTCTGGGGTTAGTCCCTAAAGTACTAAAAGGCTTTCTTCCCAAGTCTTCTCAGTTCCCTGACTCTTTCTTGGCATAGAATACATGGTCAGGCCCAACCAAAACTGAGAAAAAAAATCTCTACTTGAGAATAATACATCTCAACTGGTAAAAAGAGTCAATGAACAGACCATATGAACAACAGAAAATCAGGAGTAAGAGCACACTCAGAACACCTTTGTCATCCTAGATTAAAGCCATCTGCTGATCCTATCTGAGCATAGCATCTACTTCCTATATACCTTTATGTGCTGGCTGCTGACCCAGAACCCCTATCAATAAAAATCAAAGAACACCTATAAACTCCAGGATATTGCTTATCAAACAAATGATAATCTATATTCCAAATTTGTTGATAGCAAAATCCTTCCTTTGTATAATATGCTACAGGGAATCCAAACATATAGAAGCAATATTTTATCAGTGAAATTAATTTAATTCATATTTATAATATTACTCACTGTAAAAATCACTTATTGTAAAATCAATGAGAATAATTCACAATCTACATCTGCACATGAAAGCCTCTGAGAAGCTCAGAAGTCACATAACCTGTTTATTTGATTACTCCAGAAATTTCCAAACTTAATTGGCTTTACCCATTAACATCGGACAGAACACATTGAGGGAAACACTGATCTATTTAGGATAAGCTAAAAAATCTCTCTCATACAACTGCATAGTATTTTTGATGGATCAATATACTTTTCTTAGTACATATTTTACTGCCAAATCAAGGAAGGGAATATTTTCTAGTCATTTTACCCAGTCACATACCCTAAGACAGCCAACCCGATCAAAACAAAACAAAACAAAAAAACCACAGGTTCATTCATGGCACCTGTGCTAATGAAATGTACTTGTAAGCAGCCCAAGAACCAAAGCCTAGAGTCATTAATAGAAAATGAACATGTGAGAGGCACATAGTGGAACCAGATTATCAGAGAGGAAATGAATCATTGTTGCCAAAATGTCTGCCCATTTTAAAAATAATAGTCTGTGATCTAATTCCTATACAAAAACCTTACTCCTTTAAAGTGTACAGTTCAGTGATTTTTACTATGTTCACCCACCAGCCACTCCTCGGAAGAAAGGTTGGGCAATCCTACTTCCGTAGTGATACTGCCTCGGAAACCCAAGGGGGGTCGCTATGAGTCGGGGCCGACTCGACAGCAAACAACAACAACAACAACAACAATCACTGACTTATGCAACCATCATAGTATCTAGCATTAGAACATGTTCATCACCCCAAAAAAGACTATTTTCCCCTACCTCCTGCCCCTGGCAATCACTAATCCACTTTTTGTCTCTACAGATTGGACTATTTCATATGAATGAAATCATGTAATATATCGTCCTTATGGCTTCTTTCACTTAGCCAGTTCATCCACATTGTAGCCTGCATCAGTACTTCATTCCTTTTCATGACTGAATAATATTCCATTGTATGTATATATAATATTTTGTTTATTCCTCAGTTAATGGATATTGCATGTTTTTCATCTTTTGGTTATTATGAATGTAACTTGTATACAAGTATTTGTGTGGGTGTATTTGATCATTGCCTTCTTGTGGCCCCCGGGAACCACAAGATCTATGCATGGATCTATGCATCTATGCATGGAATTCTTGGGTCATATGGTAACTCTATTGTTTAACATTTTGAGGAACTGCCAAACTGTTTTCCAAAGTGGCTATAGCATTTTACAATGGTACCACCAATGAATGAGGGCTCCAATTTCTAACATCCTCACCAACACTTGTTATTGTCTGTCTTTTTTATTTCAGTCATCTTAGAGAGTGTCTATACATCCTTATGTTGAAGAAAATCAATTTATTAAATGTTTATGATTAAAGTATTTCATTCATGGTTCAATTTTATGCTTTTAATTAAAGACTTCTTAGATGATTTGGCTATTGCCAAAGAAAAAAAGAACAGAAAAAAAGGGAGGGAAGGAATGGAAGTGAGACTATAAGTACATACCGCCCAGGAAATGATTACCTCATTGGTTTTGTCCTTAGTGCCGTCTTCAAACTCTCTATAGTTTTACTTCTCTCCTCTTCCTCTTCCTTCTCTAAAGCCAGTAGAGATTTTCTCTATGGAGAGAAAACTGAACTTATTTTCTCAAATTCTGGATATTCTTGTTGTTTATTTTTTTTGTTTCTTTAATATACAATCAATACAAGACTATATATTACATGCTATTGTCACTTTTAATACAAATAAGTACTTAATAAATCTACAATTAAAATTATAAGTCAAAATGTAGAGCAGCAGCACCAAGAATTTATTCTCACAAATTTATTGTCTCTACTACAAATAAGTTCTTTCAAATTTAAAATATGGCTTTAAGGAAATGTTTAGAAATGCTAGTAAGCAGAGATTGCTATTCAAATGTTTGTATAAGTATTCTGTAACTACACTCTGATGTAGATATTACTATTTATATTCGATGCAAAGATTAGACCTATAGCTGAAAATCACACTCTATCAGTTGAAGTTAACCACAGTATCAAACACAGCAGCAGGCAATCATCTTCCTTCTACCACTCCCATCCTTCAGCCATAGTCAAGACCAAGAGGTTTTTGTTACATCAAATCGTTTTTTAAGAGAAACAATTACTTTAGGCCTGATGCTAAGATGAACAAGTCCTTCAAAACAAAATGTTTAACTTTTAGAAATGATTGGACACCCTTTGGAAATCAGTACATGGATGTGTGTGTGTGTGAGTGTGTGTGTGTGTGTGTGTGGAGATGTATGTGAGCATGTGTGCATCATCTCACCCAGGGATCTGCTGAGAAGTGCTTCTCAAGTTTTAATGTGGCAATGAATCACCTAGGGACTTGTTAAACTGCAGGTTCTGACTCTGTATGTCTGGGGTGAGGACTGAGATGCTCCATTTCTGACAAGTCTCCAGGTGTGGTGGTTAAGATTGTGGGTCAACTTGGCTGGGCCTGGTTGAGTGGCTGGGCAGCTGGATGTAGTTATTCTTCATGGTGAGACTGGCAATTAACTCCACGGTGGAATCTACTGGAGCAGCTGAGTAGCTGCTTTAGGGCTGTGGTCTCCTTCCCGTATGTAAGCAGCAGCTTGGAGGCCTCTACCTTTTGGCACACTGGAACCATAGAGGTAGCCAAGTTGTTCAACAGCCTGCCATGCCCTGCTGATCTTGGGACTTTATCTGGACTTGAATTAGTGGCCTGCCATGTTGTTTCGTGATAATGGGACTGTGCCTTTTCACTTGTTGACCTTGGGTTTGTCAGCCTCAGCAGCCAGCTGCTGCTTGAGTGAAGAAAAGGCTCCAGCTTCACTGAGCCAGAAGCAAGAGGCAGAGATGAAGCCCAAGGTCGAGGGGATTTCACACAGCCCCTAGAGGCTGGAACTTTGGACTTGGACTTCCAGCCTCCCAAACTGTAAGAGAATAAACTCCTGTTGTTCAGGCCATACCATTTCTGCTATATTCTTGTCAGAGCAGCACTAGGTAACCAGAACGCCAGGTAGAGCTGAGCTGCAGGTCTGCAGACCCACTTTGAGGAGCAAGACTCTGAGCAAGCAGATCTTGGATGACAGAGTTAGTCCAAGAGTTCAGTGTATTTATAAAATCATGAATGCAAGTAAAATTTATAGATGCTTAAAAAAAAAATTCCTTTCCTTCAATTTACTCTCATCACATGATCACCTAGGCTCAATCTTATTACCTGCTACCATATCTGATAAAATGCATGGTAAAAGATTGAGATGAGTATACTGGGAGAAAAGTGTGGTTATTTACTAATATCTTTAATCAACAGTATCAGTATTACAACCAAGACCTAAATTTGACTTCAAAGCGAGAAGGGTAGAGCCCAAAGCAAAGGAATACATCAGTATCATTTATGACAACTGAAATAAAAATCAGTAGGCTCTTTTTTTTTTCTTTTTTAAACATGTTATTGTTTCTGCTAAAGCTGTCCTGCTGCTGGTGATGTGCCTCGACAGCTGTCACTAGAGGATGGTGGCGGAAGAAGCTGTGTGCAGAAATAGCCAATGAATTCCATCACGGCTCTGTGAGACCCATCCACTGGAAAATTCAGCACAAATCTAGCAAAGTAGATTTAATCTCCTATGGCACAGCTGAACTGGTTTAGATTCTTAAGCGATCACTTTGAATCTGCAGTTCAGAATCAAGTCTTTTATGAATATCATCCCTTGTTCCTAAGCTTAATTACACAAACCTAGTAAAAAAAAATTTATGAAGCCCTAGTGGTTAAGCACTTGGCTGCTAACCAAAAGGTTGGTGGTTCAAACATACCAGCCACTAGATCTACAGGCGAAAGGTGTGGCAACCTGCTTCCATAATGATTACAGCCTTGGAAACCCTCTTGGGGCATTCTACTCTGTCCTATATAGTTGCTATGAGTCAGAATTGAATCAACGGCTATGGCTTTGGAATCAAAAGTTAAAGACTATATACATTTATTGTGGATCACTAATACTAAATAAAAGAGCTTTGATGGCACAGTAGTTAAAGCATTCATCTGCTAACCAAAAAGTTAGTGGTTTGAACCCACCAGGAGCTCCATGGGAGAAAGATGAGGCAGTCTGCTTCTGTGAAGATTTACAGCCTTGGAAACCCTATGGGTCCTGTAGGGTTGCCATGAGTCAGAATCAACTCAATGGTAGTGGCTTTGGTTTGGATTTTTTTAATACTAAGTAAAGACAGGTTTATTTATTCCTTTAACAATCTTGAAGAGGATGGACTATCTAAAAATAGGCAGACTACATTAAGTCTCTCCCTAGTAGAGTTGGGAAAAATTTATGAAATGCCAAAAAAATTAGAATTTCTTTTTCAGTATAAGAATGGAGCATTACCTTCCTCTCAAAACAGAAGACATTACAGTCTTTACTGTATGTGATTTACAATTAGATTTGGATCTAAGACTGCATTTTCTGTATTGAGAAAACTGAGGATATATGGATGAACTTGACATTCTAATATGACTTCAAAATAATTTATAGACACTTGCAAGTAAGTTTTCAAGTTTCACATTTAGGAAGAAGGCTAGTTAGCAATAAGGGGACATCTTGCATTTCTGCAGATGACTCACCATGCCAAATATCTAGGATGCACCTTGGCATACAGACCTTGTGGCAGCTTCTTTTGGTGCACTCTGCACTTACTAAAGGAGTCCTGGGTAATACATACTGCTCCTAACTGAAAGATTGCAGGTTGAGGTCCATGCGGAGGCAGTTGGAAGCAAGGCCTGGTGATTTGCTTCTGAAACACCAACTACTGAAAGCCCCTAGGGAGCACAGTTCTACTCTGACACATGTGGGGTTGTCATCTGTCAGAATCAATGATGGAAATCAGCTTTGCACTGACAAAATACCTGCTCACCCAAGAAGTGAGCAAAGGACAAAGCACATTCTCTCAAGGGGTCTTCTGGTCAAAGGTGCAAGCAAACATCAGAACATGCACGTCTGAGAGGTCTGCTCAAAGCAGGCGTGCCAATCATCCCTGGCTGGAATCTGGAACTAAGTGCCTGTTTTAAACACTGCCTTGGTAAGAAAGAAGTCAGTTCAATGAGCATACTAGACTCCACTTCACAACCCTCCTTCTAGAGAGAGCACTGAGAAGCCGCATACAAAGAAAGCCCAGGTCCTTCTCAAACCTGCTAGACTGTACTCTTTTATTATATCGTTTTTCACCCTTTAAAACCCAGCAGATCACTCAGGGGACCTTTAAAGAACAAAGCATTCTTGTTATGAAGCTTATATAAAGTAACTGAACTTGTTCCACAAATGGCTTCACTGACCAGTAAGTGCTATGGTTCTAGACCAGGACTGTTTATCAGACTCTTGAGGCATTAAAGAAAACAGATGCCTGCCCTACCTCAGAACCTTGGCAGGCCTGGGAGGTAGGGATGGGACTACCAGGCATCTTTTATAAACCATAGGGTTTTAACAACTGTGCTAGTGATAGGCAAACTGCAAAGGACTGATAGGCTCTACCACTTCCTAATTAGATGACCCCGGGCAAGGTAACTTTTCTTTGAGTCTCAGATTTCTTATCTATAAATAGCACTTACAGTATTGGGTACATGTAAGGATTAAAACCAACATGTAAAGTGCCTGATATGCTGCCTATCACATGATGGACACTCAGTAAGTCACTGCTGATGCTGAAGACAATGAATGACGACAATGTGGACAAATGCCCCTTCAACATTTTCTAAGCTGAGAGCTAAAGACTCTAGTATTTGGAGGAATGGCATGTTTTTTCCAGTTCCTAGGGACAATATCTCACAGGAATTCTGCTGTGTGTTGTTCCGAATTCTTCAATACAGTATACATATATAGAAATTAACCAGAACTGGGGGGGGGGGACAGCAAAGATGCTCAGAAAAGCAGAAAATGCAGCACAGTGTTTCTTCGATTCTTTCTGTGTGCAGGAGTTTTGAGGCCTCGTTAATTCATGGGCTGCTAAAGCCTTTTACCTTTGACCCCCAAAAGATTCTGATGAAGTCTGCAGCATTAGAGAACTTCATTAAAAATGACCAGAACAACTGGTCAAATAGAGATTTGTGAGACCCCTAAGACTATGGCCCTGGGTTATCCTTCAGGCTTAGAAATGTACTTACTCCCCTGGACTGGCTCTCAGCTCAACAACAGAAAGACCTACAAGCAGAACCCCTACCCTAGAGAGATATACCCTTTAGATCAACCAACCATGAGACATCAGAGGGGCAGCATTCACATAGAGGGAAAGCTGGATAGACAGGAATGCAATGCCTAGATTAGAAGGGCACAGGGAGGGGGTTAGTCACAGGGGGGAGAGGGGAGGAGAGTTTTTTACGGTTGAGGATTGTAATCAAGGTTGTGGAATCAAATATGCATGGACTATTGAATGTAAAATAAATCTGCTTTGTAAATTTGCACCCAAAGCACAATTTAAAAAAAAAAATTAAAGAAAATATTTTGGTAGGTGTTTAACACATAGAGGACAGCAAAGTAACTGACAATTTAATCACCTTGAGATGCCCTTGGGAAGGACTTTGGATTAGGACTCAAATACAATTCACATGCAGACAACTCAAGAATGTAGCAAAGAACTGGCCAGGAGCTGGGTGAAGGAGAAGGCATCTCCAGTACAAGTGCCACACACTGGCACATCACAGACCCTGTAGCACAGGAATGAGCTGGGTCGACCCCAGACAAGGCATGGAAGGACAAGTCACTGAAGGACAAATTAATTTAACTGCCCTAAATTTTAAAGAACGGAAAAATCCATAGTACTTGTACGTCTCCATTTATAGAAGGGAATTCATTAAAAGAGAAGTAACTTCCCTTGTTAGACATCAAACAATGCTGACTTAATTAGAAAGCAAGACAGCCTGCCTGGCAGGTTTTTTTTTCTTTTAACCCTTAACAGCCAGCAGCAAGAATTCAGAAAACAGCCTTATGTGCAGAGCACTTAAATGGCTCTAAAGAATTATTGCTCAGATGGATGCACAGAAAATCCCTGATGGTCACCAAAAACCTCACATGCTGCTAAACATATTCACACAAATGTCGAGGTCACCCTTTCTCATCTTTGGCATTGTGTGGGGTGCCTTGTAGAAGAATTTGATGGTTGTTTTCTGTTCTTTTCCGCTATGCTTTTAGACTAGAAACCCTCAAGGCAAAAACTTAATGCAGTTTCTTCTTTAATTTATACAGCCTTGTTCACATTTACCAGGCTGTTTATTTTTCATTGTATGACAGCAGGAGAAGCATCTTCAAAGAAAATGCTAAAAACAGGAAATTTCAAGGCCCCTGAAGTTTTGCAAAAATGTGAATGATTCACATATTCTAGTCAGTTTTTAACTTTTTCAGCAGCAGCAAAATACTGGACAGTCTAAAGTGTTTGCTTTCAGTGATAAGAAACACACAAATTCTTCATAAGGGCCTTGGGGAAGGCAGGAAATAAAGGTCAAGAGAGGTACGAGGGAAGCTATCATCTGCTTGGATGTTATCAACTCAACACTGAATCTAATAAATTCACCCTTAAAATCATGAGTGTGCCCACTGAAGCAAAAACTGCATTCCACTGTGGGCAGCCTCCAATTTTTATCAAAAATAACAGGATTTAAGCTACAAAGGCTCAGAGGTTGATGACTTGGTTTCTACTGCATATTTTTGCTGTGATCAATAGGTGCCCCTCAAGCTGCCTGGAACACTGACAATGCAGAGACATCCATGTGATCAAAATTCATGTGTTTTAGACACTAAGAATGCATTTTAAGGATTTACTGAACCAAAAATCCACGTACCAAACATCTCCCAAGGACATCTCAGAGTCTTATTATCATTCCTTCTCATTAAACCAGCCACTCCATGAATGCGTTGTTAAGTGTATGAGAAAAAGTGCACCTTAGTGTCCAAGAACCAGCAACTGGCCATGTCCCCAGGAAGAAAGAGAATGGGAGGGATACAGTGACGGCATAGTTTAATCATACTATTTTTAAAGGGTGTTAACTTTTCGAATAATGCTGCCACACCAAAGCTCCAAACGATCGGCAAGAGTAATTGCAAGTTAAAGCTGAACACAGGCCAGATTTAAGATTACATTTCCTCTTATAACATTAAACTCACTTATATTTTAGTATGTGCTGATTTTATTTAATACATGCTGGAAAAATCATTTCGCCAAATACCACTCCTGCCCCCTTTTTTCCCTACGCTGAAAGCTTGGAACAGAGTTTGGAAAGGTAATGACATTTGGTCGTTCTTACTCAAACGAACTTATTGTGCAACTGTGTGCTTTGTACTAGACTTGTGTTTTAAACTGTGTGTCACAGAATATGAAGTATACCTACAGCAGCCATGGAATTAAGCTGATCAATGTAGAATTCAGGCCAACTTGTAGCTCCCTTGTTTTCTTCTTGGTCCTAAAAGGGCAGAGAAAAGAAAAGAAAAGAAAGTGATATACCACCAGATGGACACACACAACAGACACACACATATCTGACTTCCAAAGCATCTAGACAATGGGCTGCACAAGCCATTAAAAGACACTGTGATAGGAGATAATTATTTTTAAATGTTAGCTTTAAGCTATCAGGATGTCAACTTGATTAGTATGATCTTACTGATCCAGTTTCCACAGGGTATGTTGAAGAAGTCTTGAGTTAGATGTGATAAAGGGGACATTTTCTGAACCTTGGACCAAGGGGAATTTAAATGGAACTTAGCCATCTCGTGGTGTAAAGGCAGTAAAATGAACACATTAGTTCTAGGTCTAAGCCTTCATGTCGGGGAAGCTTCAGAGTTTAGATAGAAAAAGTAGTGAGTCTGAGAGAAAAAGAACTGAAAACCAAGGAATTCAGGAACTGACTCCTAAACCACACTACAAACCAGAGTATGATCAGGAGCCAGCCTGAGAGCTCCCAGGACTTTTGTGGATGGGAGCCTGTGCCAGCCTAAACCACACCTCCACAACCTAGACAACCATGGCCTCCGCTCCACAGGATGATTGAACCCATCACGAGGTGGCATTGTTTTGGGGGATTTCTATGCACACTTGCAAGCTTATGCAGCTACAAGCTGTTTGTGAGATCCAGACAGACTTGATGTGGTTTGAAAAGAAAAATTTCAGCTATTCTCTAGCTTCACATTCAGAGGGAGCCCCAGTACAATTGATATCGCCCTGATACTTATGAGAAGGTGGTAGGCCAGGTACTCATAGCTGCTACTTGACAACGGAATTTTGTTTTAACACCTCATGTAGTAGATGGAACTAGAGCAGAGAGCTCTGCTTATTGGTGTCAGAATCCTTGTGACACTGGTTAGAAGGTGGGGCTTTTAATTTCAATCTTAGACTTCACCCCAAAAAACTCTTTCTTTAAGCAAATCTTTCCAGTTAGGGATGGGATGGGATAATAGAAATATAATTTCAAAACTATTGAAGTAGTCACAGAGCAAGGGGCAAAGAAACTATTGCTCATAGTACCCTGGGTGACTAATATCTGAATACAGGCAGTTGCATGAATTTCATGTGGAGATTGAATGAGCCAGATGGTGGGGACAAAGGGTACAGCCATGGCTTTGAAGTGGGATTAGATTACACTTACTTGGTTTTAATAGTTTAGTAAATCTGATGAGTTTTTAGAACAACCCTTGATTATAATTTAGCATGTTGTTAAAGTAGCTACCCATCAAAACCCATTGCCGTCAAATCAGACCCAACTCATAGCGACCCCTCCTTGGGTTTCTGAGGCAGTATCACTATGGAAGTAGATTGCCCAACCTTCCTTCTGAGGAGTGGCTGGTGGGTTTGAACTGCTAGCCTTCTGGTTTAGCAGTCAAATGCCTTAGACACTATGCCACCAGAGCTCAAAGTAGCTACAGTGCTAGTGTAAATGGTGAACTCTTCTCTCCTCTTAAAATGGAGTATTAAAGTTAGCAAAATCTCATTGTTACCACTGTACTGAACTAGCCAAAACCTACAGTGATATTCAATGGTATTTGAATCTATAAAATGAAATAAAAGATGCCAGATATTTCTACAAAACTAAAACAAGTCTCATGTCCAAGGTCCCATGAGGGCCTGTTGTTAAGCTTAATAGTCATGGTTACTGTACAGAGATCATTTTAGAATCTGAAGATTAGTATAAAGATAAGGATTTTCACACTTTAGAAACATTATAATAATGTAAACAGATTAAGAGTAAACCTAGATACTGTAGTCAAAATAAGGGGAGAAGACTTCATTTTAATTTATATGCCTCAGTGCTGAGAAAACAAATGAGCTAAGGTATGTAAAAGCAGCTTGGAAATATACTAATAGTTATTTGATCCTCAGAGTTCTTCATCTGGTGGTGCGTCTTTGGTATCCCCTGTGCAAACCCAGTCTTTCTACATGGATGTGTGCAGTAGCCAGGTGGAACTCACATCTGTGAGTCAACCCTTTCCTCCTACATTGTGTGGCTGTGCAAAGGCACAGGCCAGAAGAGATGAATGCAATTGTTCTCCGGGGACCCCATAAAGAGCTTGAACACTGAGATATACCAGAGGGGAGACCCTCTCCATAGATGTTCATGAAAGAAACTGCTGGCAGAAGTGTAACATGTACAACTTTCCTGGAGAGCAACAGGGTCTTATGTATTATAAGCCTCTAACATGCATTATTCTTTAAGCCACCCATCTCAATTCATTTGTTCTAGGAATACATAAAAGACTACATAAATTGTATAGTTGTAATAGAAGCAACAGAATATCCAACATGTCAAATACTATTCCAAGCATGGTACTCTTCATTTGAACTTCATTTAACCTATCCTATGGGATAGGTCCCCATGTGTCGAGACATACTCAAGGGCAGCTAAACAACAATGACACTGAAGGTAGGTACTATTATTATACTCATTTTACTGAGGAGGAAACAGAGACACAGAAAGTTTAGGTGAACTGCCAAAGGTCATTACTGCTAGAAATGCAGAAGCAACCTTTTTCTAAGTTTAGACCTCAGAATCAAAAGTAAAAAAAAAAAAGTAAAAGCTGGCTTTTACTCGTAACTACTTCATATAACAAAATTAAAATATGGCTAGTGGCCAAACATGAGCTCACCTTTCCCAAAGCCTCTTGCTATTTTTGCTACACTCAGCATTTCTGAATATTATTCCAAGACCTGATGCCTTACCCTGGGTTACCTCTGATGCTGCATTCTAGAATCCTGTGGGAATTCTTCTGCATTTCTATCAATGCCTCATCTATCTTCACACATTTACATACCAAACCTGCTGCTGTAGTAGAGTTGATTCCTACTCACATTGACCTTACAAAACAGAGTAGAGCTGCCCAATAGGGTTTCCAAGGCTGTAAATCTTTGTGGGAGCAGACTGCCCCTCATCTTTTTTCCATGGAGTGGCTGGTGAGTTCCAACCTCAGCCTTTTAGTTAGCAGCCAAGCACCTTAACCACTGCACCACCAGGGCTTGCCTTCATTTGCTTATAGATAGTCCTTAAAACTTTTTTCTAACCCTTTCTCCTAGTCTGTTATTTACCTCAGTTTAAAGGCCATCTTCGTAGGGATTTCTCAAGAGTATTTGAAAACTAGCTGATAGCACTGAGCAGGTCAGGGCACTGGAATTGTAAATAAGTATCTTCCTAAACCAAACACATTTAATCCCTTCGTTCTGGCTACCTACTTACACAATTACATTACACCTTTTTTTCTAGTAAGAGAGAATATTGCCTTCATTCTACTATATAAAAAAACTTTTTTTCTCCCTTTTTAAAATTGATTGTTGTACTAAAAAAGTTATTATATGGACATACAATTATAAATTATATATAAATTAAATTATATGGACATATAATTTCTAATGTTCACATGAAATACTCTTTCATTCTACATATAAAATGAATAATTTAAAGTCCAATTTTGCTTTTTCTTGAAAATGTTGCAAACACTTAAATTTATAGAGTTATCTGCTGAAGGTCTAGTCAATAATTAGAATTGATATAAACATATTAGGTTATTCAAGTTTTTTACCCACTTTAAATCACAGCAGTTATTTTCTCAACATCCCACTGCCTGTAATACTATTTGCATTGTTTCTTAGTTGGCACTCTTCTGGGGTAAATGGTCACGGCTATATCCCAGGCTCCCATCTTACAATTCACTAAAATCTCTCTGCCATCCATGTTAACTATGTTCCACTTTTTCCATCACCGTCAATAGATGCGTGTTTGAGTCCTCAGCCTACTCACTAGCTAAGTGAATTTTAGGCAGGGAAGTTAAGTAATCCCTTTATGACTCAGTTTTAGTTTCCTTATCTATCTATAAAACCGGTGCCTACCTACCTCATGGGTTCTTGTAAGGATTTAGTGAGTTAATAGAGATAAAGAAAGTATTGGTGAGAGTATACACATGAGGCGCTAGATAAATGTTAAACCAAAAACCAAACCAAACTCACTGCCGTCGAGTTGGTTTCGACTCATAGTGACCCCTCCTTGGGTTTCCAAGGCGGTATCTCTACAGAAGTGATCGCCCAATCTTCCTTCCGAGAAGTGGCTGGTGGGTCTTAACCGCCAGCCTTCTGGTTAGCAGTCAAATGCCTTAGGCACTGTGCCACCAGAGCTCCCAGATAAATGTTAGGTATGATAATAATGATATTGTTACAGACGCTCCAGTTACTGGGACTGTAAATTGGAGCAACCTGCTTGGAGGTAGATTTTGGCAATAATTGTTCAAATTTAAAATGCACACAGCCTTTGACTCCATAAGTCAAATACTTTTGGGAATTTAGCCCATAATTACCTGCCCACATTTGCACAAATATATTACAAAGATTATTCATTGCAGCATGGTTTTTATTAGCAGATAATAAAAAAAAAGGAAATAAAATAGAACATATGGAGAGGGGAATGGTTGAGTAAATTACTATGTAACACAGAATGAAGTACAGCTCTGTAAAAAAAAAAAAAAGACTAAATGTATTATTGAGAGGAAAAAAATGTTTCAAAAGAATATTCTAATTTCCCATTTGTAGGATAAATAATGTATATATACTTTATGTATACAAACAGTTTTGAAATATATCCAATAACACTTAATGGCTACCTTTGGGTAGCAGTAGGGAAAGACTTTTACTTACAAACTTCTGTATAATTAAAATTCTTATTTTACCAAGAACATGTGTTACTTTCACAAGTAAAATAGGAGTAAGTTCTAAAACATCACCTGTTCTGTTAAGACAAAAGCTCTTCTTTTTCTGATGTTCTGTATTAACATGAAAAGCACCAAGTGTACTTTCAAGTGTACATACATCTTTGAATGCATTTGAGGGGTTTCTGTCTTCTATTCCTGGGCACATGCCCACACACAGCAAATAACTAAAAGTATTTCTCTATTAAATGTCTTCTGCCACAATGTTTTCTATTTCTAA